GCAAGCTTTTTTCGGCCCCCCACCCCCCCCTTCTCCTCCCTCCCCTTTTTATTCTATTCTCTTTTTCCTTTTAATAATTCTTAATTACGCAACCTTTTTCATCATGCCGTCTCCGAAAACTATTTTGAAAAAGCGCAATCTACGGAATCGCAAGATTAGAATGATCGTCGCTGCAATTAGCGCTTGCGCCGCCGTTCAATACTATAAAAACAATTTCGCCAAAAACGCCGTAGCATACATACTTCCGATCTGACCAGCTTTTCATAAGTAAGAGAGCTTCTTACGTAGTACCACGGTACAGGCCTAAGTATTACCCCTCGAGGGTGCCTTAAAAGTTTAGTTTCCACTTTAAACCCCCTGTTTTCCTTACCCTCGAGGGGTAATACTTGCGCCTGCGACGTAGTATAAGCCACTTACTACGAATCAAGAATAACCTAAGAGTGACTCGAAAAGGAGTTCGATATATTGAAGACTTACACGTGGAAATCCTCGATCGAGTTTATCGCATTAATGAATAATTCATAATTGTAATAACGACTTGATTATTTTCTTCTAATCGTCGGTGTCTTCAAATTTTACTTCGAAAGAATTAATCGACTTGCGATAGCACGTCGGCATGACTAAAGCGGGACATGTAGCACAGCGGGATAGTAAAATTTGCTCTTTTTTTAATAAATAAAAAATCAATTAACTGCTTATTATATAATAATTATTTCTATATAAAAAGATGCGCTGTACTGAGTTTGATAATAATCCATTAATGGAATTTTAAATACAGGTTGCTATTCTTCTATCGTGTTAAATGAAAGTAATAAAAATAATACTTTTGATATATACGTTTCGATTTTGATGATGCGTACCGGTATGCTACTACGTCGCAGGCGTAAGTGTTACCCCTCGAGGGTACGGAAAACAGGGGTTTTAAAGTGGAAACTACCTAGACTTTTTTTTGAGGCACCCTCGAGGGGTACCTTAAAGGCAGGTAAAGGGTTATTTAAACCGTCAGCTGACAATCCGATGACGGTCTCTTTAGAAGACGATTCCAAGAGGTTAGCATAGCTAATAGTCAGTGCACTGACTTTGTGACCTGCGGGCTCTCGGTCACAGTCAGGACAAGCAAGTGTCCCAGGTCAAGCAAGTGTCCCATTTCAATAATTTCAACTTGTATTAGAAATAACTTAATGACGAATAAAGCTATGATATTAAAAATTTGATACTTTTAAAGAGCTCGATTCCGCCGACTAATGCATTCAATTTTTATCAATATAGCTCTTTTTATTATCAAGTTATTTAAGTTGCAAATCGTAAAAAAAAAAAAGTTTTTGATTCTTTATCGAAAAGAATCGAAAATCGCGATTTGTATTAAGAATAAGTCAATAACAAAAAAAGATACAATAATAAAAATTAG